CTTTTTTTTTTTTCTTTTTTTTTTTTTTTTAGAAAACAAACAGTTCCAATCCCAGTTAAATACAGAACTTGAAAAGTGTTCCAGAAAAAAGTGCTGGCTAAATTACCTCTGAAAGAGAAACACAACATGGAGAGAGAGGGACACGATGAGAAGGGCCCTGAGGGTCCCCTGTGTCCCCCTCTGCCACCCTCACCCCCAGGTTCTCCCCCACCTACCCTGTAACAAAACCTCGTTGTCCGGTTGGCACATCAGCAGACACTACAATGAGGTGACCGTAAAAGTGTCCTCGGGGTGTTGTTGCTCTACCATGGGTCCCAAAAACCCGCTCTTCTGGGTGGGGGCCATGACGGGGTGCCCTTGGGGTGCAAAACTGGGGTACCTGTAGTTGTCCTGCAGCTGCAACATTGAGTCTCTCGGTACGGGGGAGATGTTCAAGTCACTGATCAAGGGACAAGCGTAGGGTCCTCGGTGGTGAGCCCGGGACATCTCCAAGGGCTCCTTCTCGCCCTTGGAGGGGTGGGTGCCGCTCGGGCTGCTCAAGTGGGGGTTCAGACACGGGGGGTCTGTCCTGCCCATGAAGTCTACCAGCATCCCGGTGCCCGCCTTGCCGTCGTAGGAAGGGCTGCGCGTGCTGGCGTTGGGGGAATACCAGTACGGGGGATTTTTGCAACTGGGGGAGTCGTAGTGCGGTTGAGGCATGGGGAGGTCGCGGCAAGCCAGGTGCGGGGCGTGCGGCAGGGCCCCCCCCTGCATGCTGTGTTTGAGCGAGTCGCAGGCGGGCAGCTTTCGGATGCTGCCCGCCCGGAGGTCCTCCTTGAAGGCCAAGGTCGGGGAGCAGTTGGGCGAGAAGGCTTTCTGCAAACCGGCCTCAAACACAGTCTGCTGGCCGGGGGCTGCCAGCTGGTGTGGGAGGGCAGGGAAGTGCTTGCTCTCCAAATCCGGCTGCCCCAAACCAGGGGAGTCGCTCTGGAACCCCTGGACGAAGGTCCCGTCTGAGGGGGTGGAGGGGTTCATGGAGTAGGGGCCGGTGTAGTCGCAGGGGTCCCGCTCCCCCACCCCGAAGCCCCGGGACTGGGAGGGCAGGGGGGACATGCTGCTGTCCCCGCTGTAGTAGTCCAAGCCCAGGTCCGTGCTCTCCTGGAAGAGGGGGTTCACCGCCTGTGACTTGGTGGGGAACTTGGCTTTGCCCGTCCCCCTCTCCTTCTTGGAGGCACAAGCCCCTCGGGAACCCCGGGGCTGCCGGGGTCCCGTGTTCCTCTTGGAGGGGTACACAGAGGAAGAAGAGGAAGAGGAGGAGAAACTCAGGTGGGAGGTGTCGAACATATCCACCTTCTTCCGTCGGCCTCGACCGGGCTTAGAGTTACTCTGGAAGAGGACGCTCTGGTTCCAGTTGTAGCCAGGGGCAGAGGATGCCTCATTCCAGTCCATCATCAGCTTCTCCAGGCTGGAGAGGCTGGACTGGCCCTCACTGGAGGACGCCTCGCTGTTGGCGCGCCGGTAACCAGCCGGCTGGTTGAACTGGGTGCTGTCAGAGGAGGACTCGGAGAAGGTCTCGGAGACCGTCTGCTGCTTGGCTTTCTGCGGGGTGTAGTTGGAGATGTCCAGAATGACATTGGGTTCATTGAGGTGGCACTCGAAGCCCGGGTTGTAGAGCTGGCTGAAGGCTTCCGAGCTCCAATCCAAGCCACCATAGCCTTGCCGGAAGGCCCACGGCGCAGCGCTGGGGAACTGCCGGCAGTTTTCAGGCGAGGGCTGGAAGGATGCCGAGCCCTTGGGCACCATGTAGCCGCCGGGCGAGACGGTGCTGGCCCGGCTGTCGCAGCGCAGGGGGGTGTGCGCGGCGCTGGAGAACTGCCCCCCCTGCTCGGCACTGTTGAAGAAGGCGGCTTTTCCCAGCGGCAAACTGGGACCAGCTGTTGGTGGCGCGTAGCCGGCACTGTGGGCACTGCTGGGCGAGGACGGGAGGCTGCTGCCGCTGCCGTAGGCGAAGCTGCAGTCCTTGCTGTTGGGGCAGTCCTGTGCTGAGGGGTACTGCTTTCCTGCCGGGAACACACTGGCGGGCGCCACGCTCTGCCCGGCGCTGCCGTAGCTGCCGTACGGGGAGTAGCCGGGGGTGCCGCTGGCGGCCGGGTGAGCCGTGGGCGACCGGGACACGGCCGACGGCGGGGCCAGTTTGGGGAAGGACTCGGTGCCCCGGCACTCCGACGAGCTTTGTGTCACGCCGTAGCCGCCGGAGGCGCGGCCGGGCGGGAACGCCGGCCGGCCTTGCATGGCCGCGTGGAAGGCGGCTTCGGCCGCAGGGCTGGCCGCAGGCACTTTGCCCCCGCGGGCCGTGTAGGCAGCCATGCCCCGCTGGCCGGGCAGCGCGGCCGGGGGCGCCGTGTAGGCGGCCGCCGATTTACGGGACTCGGAGCGGGACGCGGACAGGGCGAAGTCCAGCAGGTCGGAGGAGTCGTCCGAGTCCAGCAAGGAGCGGAAGTATCCGGTGAAGAGGCTGTGCCGCTCCGGCCCGCTCTCCGTCTGCGAGGACGGCGCGCTGCCGGCGTAGAAACCGGCGCGGCCGGAGGAGCCCGACTCCAGCCCCGCGGCGTGGAAAGGTCTCGCCTCGGCCCCTTGGTAGCCGCCGTTGCGTCCGGCCTGGCTGCCGGGGTGGCCGTGGTGGGGGGCCCAGGGGCTGCCCTTCTCCCCCCCGGGCCATTCCGCGGCGGGGCCGTCCCCGAAGCTCTGCCCGGAGCTGGGCTCGGGGAACAGCGCCCCGTTCTTGCGCGCCCGTCGCTTGCGCTTGGGTTTTCCCACAGGATCGGGCTCCAGCCGGCCGCGCTTGCGGGGGTGCACGGGGTCAGCGTGGAGGGCGCTGGGGGCTTTCTTCTTCTTCCCGATGCCCTCGAAGAAATCGCTGAAGGAGCAGCGTGCGGCGCGGGCGGCGTGGCTCCCCCCGCGCCCACCGAAGCCCCCCGCCTTGCCGCCGCGCCGGCGGAAGCCCTGGACGCGGTGCAGAAAGTGGGAGATGCTCTGAGTGTCGGGGGCTTGGTGGATGGACTCGGGCTCGCTGGGGGTCCAGCAGCGGGGCGGCGAGCAGCGCCCCGAGCACTGGCTCTGCCGGTTCAGGAAGGCCAACTTGGCCAACACGTCCGAGTAGTCGGCTTTGCTGTCATTGGTGTCGGCGATGTAGGAGGGCTGGGGCGAGGCCAGCTTCTGCTTCCTCCTCCTCCTCTTCTTCACTTCCGGGGTGGGCTCCTTGGGCTTAGCTTGGCCCAGCAGCAGGTTTTTGGGAGGCCGGCCCCTCTTTCGCTTCAGGATAATGGGCATCTCGCCAGGGGGGAACACCACGACCACGTTGCGCCCATTGTTCTTCATCTTGAGCAGCGGCGTGGGCTCCATGGAGCTGCTGGCTGCCAGCTCCTTCCCCTCCAGGTTCAAGTTGCTGCTGAGCGATGACACCTTGTAGGTGGTCTTGTTCCTCCTCCCCAGGGACACGGGGATCTTGGCCATCTTCACCACCATCTTCCTCACCCCCCGGCACTTGCTCTTCTTCCCTGCCGGGGGGGCTTTGGGCATCTCGTTGGGGTCCAGCGTGGTGGGGCTTGGTGGCGGCGGGGGGCTCAGCACTGGGGTGTCGGGCTCCTCGGGCCCGGGGGGCATCTCGGTGGGCAGGGCGAGGGGGGACAGGACGCGGCTCTCAGGGGTGACGTCCACCCGGCGCCCTCGGCCCGCCCTCCTCCGGCGGCACAGCATCTTTGGCTTATCTGTCCGGCGCAGGGCGTACTTGCGGTGATCTTCGCCACAGCGCCCGCCCCCCCGGCCCCCACAGGGGCCCCGCTTCACCATGGTGCTCAGGGGACACCCCCCGAGCCGGGGCTGCAGCCCGTGGGCCCGCAGAGGGTCCCCAGCGCCCGGCTGCGCCTCCAGCAGCTCCGAGACGGTTCCCAGGGGCTGCGGCTCCAGCAGCGAGGGCTCGGTGGGCAGCAGCGGCGGCTCCAGCGCTCCGGGCAGCGGCTCCAGGGTCTGCAGCCCCAGGGGCTCCGCCAGTGGCTCCAGCGACTGCAGCTCCAGCGACTCGGACAGAGGCTCCAGCGACTGCAGCTCCAGTGACTCGGAGAGCGGCTCCAGCGACTGCAGCCCCAGCGGCTCCAGGTTTTGCAGCTCCAGCGACTCTGGCAGCGGCTCCAGGCTCTGTGAATCAAGCAGCTGGGGCTGTGACTCCAGGGACTGGGAATCCAACAGCCGGGATTGGGAGTCCAGCTCTTGGGCTGGCAGCAACTGGGGCTGCGGCTCCATCGCCTGCGACTCCAGCAGCTGCGTCCCCGGGCAAGCCAGGGAGGCCAGCTCGTTCAGGATGTCCGCCTCGGCCAGCTCCGAGTAATCGCTGGCATCGGGCTGGGAACAGCCGGCTTCATCCGCCGGAGCTTTGGAGACATCCCCCACACCCACACTGTGTCCTGGGGGCTGCGGGGCGCTCCCCCCGCCTCCATCAGCTTCTCCATCACGCGCCGGGGGCCGGGGGTGCCGCGACGGGTCGGATTTGAGGAGCACCCCCCGCTCCTCGGGGCTGCGGATGCTGTTGGCCAAGGAGGGCGAGGAGAAGAAGCTGTACTGGAGGTCACGGTCAGCGGGCAGGAGGCGGCTGTCCTCGTGAGCCCCGCCGCCACCGCGGAGGCTGCCACAGTCCAGGTGCACCCCGCTGTTCTTGAGGTCCTCGGAGAGGCGGTTGAGGTCCTTCATGATGTCGATGAGCTGCACCACGGGGTGGAGGTTGATGTGCCCGTTGCCGC